AGTGGGTTTGATGTTGATATTGCCTAATTAAATCCAGAGTGGGTTTGATGTTGATATTGCCTAATTAAATCCAGAGTGGGTTTGATGTTGATATTGCCTAATTAAATCCAGAGTGGGTTTGATGTTGATATTGCCTAATTAAATCCAGAGTGGGTTTGATGTTGATATTGCCTAATTAAATCCAGAGTGGGTTTGATGTTGATATTGCCTAATTAAATCCAGAGTGGGTTTGATGTTGATATTGCCTAATTAAATCCAGAGTGGGTTTGATGTTGATATTGCCTAATTAAATCCAGAGTGGGTTTGATGTTGATATTGCCTAATTAAATCCAGAGTGGGTTTGATGTTGATATTGCCTAATTAAATCCAGAGTGGGTTTGATGTTGATATTTCCTAATTAAATCCAGAGTGGGTTTGATGTTGATATTTCCTAATTAAATCCAGAGTGGGTTTGATGTTGATATTGCCTAATTAAATCCAGAGTGGGTTTGATGTTGATATTGCCTAATTAAATACAAAGTGGGGTTGATGTTGATATTGCCTAATTAAATCCAGAGTGGGTTTGATGTTGATATTGCCTAATTAAATACAAAGTGGGGTTGATGTTGATATTGCCTAATTAAATCCAGAGTGGGTTTGATGTTGATATTGCCTAATTAAATCCAGAGTGGGGTTGATGTTGATATAGCCTAATTAAATACAAAGTGGGGTTGATGTTGATATTTCCTAATTAAATCCAGAGTGGGTTGATGCCGAACATGTTTGAAATCCCCGATGTAAACTAACGACCTATTTTTTTCACGGCGGAAGCAGCACGTCATCGGAATGCGTATTGCCGTGACGTCATACGGGACATCCTAGGTAAAACAGCTGAGGTGGGGAGGTGACATTTATGGCCAGTTATTAAAAGGACACATCTTTCAGAAAACCTGTCTCACCTTGATGAAATACAGAGGCAAGACTAGAACCAAACGGGTTTGTCAACGGACATGAGAAACAAGGCCAATAATAATAGAGTATATTAATCTAAGATACGCGGCTCTCAAAATGTTCCAAGTCAACAAACAAATAAGGACAAACACAGCCCCTTTACATTTTTCTGCCGACCACTACTGCCCTTTATGCCCATTACTGCCCTCTCTATCCACTACGCCCCTCTCTAACCAAACCTCTACAGCACTCTCGAACCAATAATGCCCTCGCTAACCACTACTGCCCTCTCAGACCAATAATGCCCTCTCTGCCCAATACTGCCCTCTCTCTGCCTCTAGCCGGCGTGGACAAATCCAACCCATTGTTTTTAAATTGTCTAAAGATTTAAAAAAAATAGATCTCCCCAAAACATCAGTTATTCTATTTTTAAATTGCTGAACGTGAAAGAAACATAATTCTTGACATGTTTGTAAAAATGTTCACTAAAAGATGTGCTCCCTGAAATGGCGAATTCCGCGGGAAGTCCTACAAAACAGCGGCGTCTAGCGACAAACGCGTCCCAATCCATTGATAAAGTATAGACTCCATTGAAGGCTTGGAATGGCGGGTGGTGGCGCAGTTTTGTTCTCAGCCGTGTGGGTGTGGAGTGCTGCCCACACTCAGTCAACGGCCCCAGCACGGTTACCTTGTGGCCACCGAACCAGTTGTTTTCGATCGGGCTGTAAGGCTCTGCAAGGATCAATCATGGCGGATAACGCAAGGTTTACGGATTCCTCATTGCAGCCAGCGTATCCTCTGCCATGCTACCTGTGAGTGTCAACTCTGCACCGCTATATCAGTGTTATGTCTGTCGTGTTTTAGTGTCTGCCATCTGATCAATGACGTGCGTCTCACACCAAACCGATAGCTCGACATTTTTTTTTGTTTTTAGCGATACAATACTGTGTAGGCGTAGGCGTATCGATATAGGGAAAGTACAATTATTGTTTTGATCAGTTCCGGAATGTGCGTGTCTCCTAAATCCATTAACCAAACAAAAATAAATAAGAAAAATAAATAATTTAAAGTTAAAGACAAAAATAATGGAATGTAGAGTTGTTGTATCGTGGTGACCGCACAAACCGGTGTAGAATTAATTGAAATTATTGTAGAAAGAAATAGTGATGATCATTTAGTTGAATATTTATCTGAAATGGGTTATAACCTAACCCTAACCATAACCCTATCCCTAACCATAACCCTAACCATAACTCTAGCAATAACCCTAAACATAACACTAACCATAACCCTAACCAAAAACCATGTTCTTTACCCGTATTTACGCTACCCGTTACATCGGTGTTTTATTTAACCTTAACCATGGTGTTGACCGGTCAACTTAGTGACTCCCTACAAACTCGTCTGCTTCGTCGGGCACCAGCAGATGTAATTCCAATTTTTGACAACTCAAAGGTGACATGAATATCACCCGCTCAATTTAAACTTGCAGATGTGCTGTGCTCAGAACCATTGCGTGGGCCCTGAGTCCCCTAAGCGGGAGGGGGGGGGGGGCTAAGATTTTTAATGGCCCTAGGGCGGGGGATTGGTTGTGATGGGGAAAAAATAAAACTCAAGATTTTAAATTTCATTGAATAAGATATTTAATGGACCTAGGGCTGTGAATTTGTTGTGATGGGGAAAAAATAAAAATCATGATTTTAAATTTCATTGAATAGCTTAATACATACATTTACAAAGTGGCAGTGGTGGAAAGGGGTGGGGGGGGGATGGTGGGTGTCCAAAAGTCACGCATGATTTCCGTCTGTGCCATCATTTGCACGTTTGTTATCTGGCCAATCATTTTTCCTTTACTTTTTATCGAGCCAATCATTGTCTCTTTGCTTGTTATCTATCCAGTCATTGTCTCTTTGCTTGTTGTCTATCCAATCATTGTCTCTTTGCTTGTTGTCTATCCAATCATTGTCTCTTTGCTTGTTGTCTATCCAATCATTGTCTCTTTGCTTGTTATCTATCCAATCATTGTCTCTTTGCTTGTTATCTATCCAGTCATTGTCTCTTTGCTTGTTGTCTATCCAATCATTGTCCCTTTTGTTTCAACAAATTTATTTCATATTCGCTTGTTTTTCATCACCTTGGAGCTGTTCTTCATCGGAAAACCCTGCATCGAGTTGCGGCACACATAGCATCGTCTCGCGGCACACATAGCATTGTCTCGCGGCACACATAGCATCGTCTTGCGGCACACATAGCATTGTCTTGTAAACCGATTGTGGTGTTCTACTGCATAGCAATGATATTAATTAGTTGTTTGTTTTCTTACAAGGTCTATGTAAATTACCGTTGTATGATTTTACACATTTAATCTGTTTTAAGAATTGCCTCGATAGTTGAACAATTCGAAACAAAAGCCTGAAGACCAGTATACAAAGAAAAACGACACAAAGCTATTAATAGTAACAATAATCAATTTAATGACATCACTAATTTGATATCAAAATACAGAAATAAAAAGCATATTACCGTAGGGAACAAGTGTAATACTAGAAGGGTGCAAATATCAATCCATACACACTCACAGCTAAAATCTAGTAAGTCTTGGACGGCTACAGTAAGTCTGGTAAGTCTCATACATGTGTGTCGGTCACAGTCGACCTTCGTATTTATAGTGAGGTAGTCAGAACCTCCAGAACAGGACGTCTAAAAATTCAATCGCCGTAGAGTATTTCTTTCTCTGTGTACAGTAGTATAATGGAGATCCTTTTGTAATCGTAAACCAACTTTCCCAGTCAAGAGCGCCGGGGGAAAGGAGTGGCAGAGTTAATTGGTGACGTCAGAAACAATGGTGGATGTCAAGATGCATGCCCCGACTCGTAGTGAACAAAAACTAGCTCAACACACAGGCTGTAACAGTCTCCGACGAAAGCTGGCTTCACGTGCGAAACCCGCTTAAATATCCTCTTCAGACTAGTCCCTGATTTCCGTGATCTTGACTAAGTAGTAGTCTCTGTAATATAGGGTGACCAAATCATAAACTGGAAAAAACGGGACACACCCAAGGAGGGTTTGGGGGGAGGGGGGATACCCTCCATCTAAATGGGGCCGCTAGTTTTAACTATTTTGAGACCTAGAAATCTTTTTTAAAATTTACCTTCACTTTTTAAATTTAATTTCATTTACTCTGGGACATAGGCTATCATAAACGAAAACAATAATTTTGCTGTGAGTTCTTATTTATTTAAACATATTGTTCAACATAATACCACACAATAAATTAATTTTTTCTAGTCTAGGATTTAAATTGAGCATATTTGGCTGTTGTCACCACCATTGTTAAATCCTCCTTCTTATCAAATATATAGTTGTCAAAACTACAACAGAAAATGTGTTCGGTTTTAGAAACGGGACATTCAGGCGTCCCGAGAGACCTTTTCGGGACACTAGGTACGATCGAGAAAAAACGGGACAATCCTGTTTTTACCGGACGTTTGGTCACCCTACCCTAATATTAACACCCCTATAAACATCCGTTATGTAGCACTTTGAAAGTATATTCTTTTGTGTATTTCATGTGTAAATCATATTTAAAACAGGTGGCACAGATGAAAGCTAAGCGCTACACGAGATGTTCTCTTAGAAACACTGAGATTGGACACTTCAGATACTTAAAAATATAGAAATTAAAAAACTGTAATCTATGACTATGGCTTCGAGTCACATCGATTATCTGTAGTAATTCCACATGAAGGTAGTGATACTGCTGTCACGGTTATATTAGTAAGATAAGAGTGGGACCTGTAATGTTATCTATTATTATATTTTTTCAAATAAATCGCTTTAAAAAGTCTAATTATGCGTAAAAAGCAAAGCGTTGAAGTTAAAGAAATAATATTGTCTTATGAAAGCCACTATGTGGGCGAACTGTGTTGGAGAATCGAGGCTTGCCGTCAGGTTGAGCGAGGCCTTCACCCGTCGAGCAAGTTTCTGTAGGTGTGTTGACTTGGTTTGCTCAATGTTGTCTAACGTGTGCTCTGACCTCTATGGCCATGATATCACGGTTTATTCATATAGTCTAGCTACGCTGGCAGTGTTGACATTCCTCCACATATTCTAGCTATGCTAACACTGTTGACGTTTCTCATCAAATGAATGTCGCAGTTTTTTTGTTTAAAAAAAACAACAACTTTTTGCGTGTTTACACCTACGTGAAATATGTTTAAAAATTCGTAGGTCTTTCTATGTGCCTGTAGACTCTTATGACATCGTAATTTTTTGTTTCATTCGGGGGTACAGATTTTAGTATTCCATTTTTTGACGCCAGCCATGGATTGTTTTTGTTTTTTAAGTGGATAAAATTTCACGAGAAGCTAAAATTTTGATTTTCTGGATAATTCCCCGATGCTTGGATTCAGAGGCTGAGAACAGCAGCTGTCACTGTCCACTTTCTTCTTTCCTAACTGAGCGCTACAATGAGCGATTGAAGTAAATAAAAATTATTAAATAAAAATGTGCAAGGATTAGCTGTTTAGATGTTTAAATAAATTTTATAAATAATATATATATACAGGATGGGCCAATAAAAGGGAGAACATCGCGTAAAATATTACGCTACGAGATGTTCTCACTTTTATTGGCCTACCCCAAACTGCAGTAATAATAGTATGTAACATATTTCGTATAATTTCTAGGTCAGGAAATGTTGAAATGGACAAAATATGGACAAGATAAGAAGGAGAAGAATACAGATACGGCAATAAATACTAATGACGACATCGAGGCAGTTAGGCCGGCCAATCATACCAGCCAAAGTGACCCACAGTTTACCAGCCAAAGTGACCCTCAGTTTACCAGCCAAAGTGACCCTCAGTTTACCAGCCAAATAGATCCTCAGTTTACCAGCCAAATAGATCCTCAGTTTACCAGCCAAATAGATCTTGATGGCAAAACTGACAAAGTAAACGCCAGTCCATCCACACCAAGCGTGTCGATTCACATCTCAGATATAACAAACGCCACATCACCGGACCAGATCACAAACGTGTCACGGAGATCTGAAACGGTGCCCGCATCAGCCAAGGAAAACTCGGATACTTGTAACCAACAACTTACTGCTGACACCAGAAAAGATCAACATTTTACAAGTGAGGCTGACCCCAAGAACTGTCTTAGCTCAACACTTTGTCCTTCGGCATCGACCTCGTTATCGACATCACAGGAAACCGGATGTTTGAGACCCGTAAAATTGTCTGATTTTACATGGGAAGAGTTCACATCTTCGGCATCTGAAGAGTCGACTTCAGCCTTAACACCAAGCTTAATAACAGACTCACTACGACACAATAACACAGGAAGTAACCTTAACACAACACAATCGGGAAATTGTTTAAAAGCCATTTCACAAAAGGAACTTCTAGAACAATCTAAAATGGCATCATCACTTCCCGACGTAACAACTCTGCCGTCGGCGGAAAGAGAAATTCTCGGCCCCGAGGTTGCATGGGAAGAAGAGGACTTAACCCTGTTGCAAGTGGCGGATAAGGATAATTTCCCCTGTATTTGTAGTTTCGAGGAGCACACGCAACAGAAGACCTGGCAGGTGGAGAGGCTCCAGCCTGGATTAAGGATCTACTCTCGGCAGCCGGTCCTAATGCACATGCGCGTGACCAAGAAGCAGGCCCGAGCCAGGACCATTTTCAAAGACCCCAAAGGGGCATATTACGAAGTTGGTCAGACGATGATTATACCCGCCGATTATCAAGGTAGGTGTGTTTCATTGGAAGCTAAGATCGTGTTTTTTATAGAGGAAAAAATACATAAGACGGATGCTAGACAAAACAAATGATATAGGTCAAGTCATGCAAGATTGATAGGGATTGGTAGTGGCCAAGAGGGATGATTAAGCGGCCTTGGGGGGGGGGGGGGGGGGGATAATGTTAAGAAGATCATTTCGTTTCTTGACTCTAATCCTCACTAGTCATCAGGAAAACAATGGCCGGCGACGTTATTTTGGTCCGGGGGTTTGTTTGATAAGTTAGAAGATTGTTTTGTTTGTTTAAATAGGAATGACAGTTGTGTTGAATAGATGGATCAATGTCGCGATGAAGCTGTGAATTATAGCTTAGTTGGTGGAGATTTTCTATTTTCTGTTGACGTGTTGTCCTGTGATATTGCTTATGGAAGGAGTTATCCCGTATCTGAGATAATGACCTCTAAAGTAATGAAGCTCCAGCTTTCTTATAAGACACCAGAGACTGTAAGATAAGCTTAATCAAATGAACCTATGTAAATGCTTCAATTTAAGATCTTTTAAATCTTTGTTTTAGATTATATTATATTATACACTCCTCTTATAGACCCTGTAGCCTTTTATTAGAGAAAAATGGAAATCAATTAAAAAATGAATGCAAATCAATTGAATGATAACAGTGATGATAGAGAATATAGATTTACCCGTGTTGAGAGGATGTGACGATCAACTGAGGAGAGGTTAACGTGTCGCGCCCCCTCGCGGCTGCAAATGTTCGTATCGCACATTCACCCATGGCCATTGTTCTTGTTTTGTAGACACCCACATTTTGCTTGCAATCCGATGAGCTCTTGCAATTATACCCACTGAGTCCTTTGAATAAAACAATAAATCAATGCGACCTTCTACGACGTAGGTTGGTTTGAGCTGGTTCCCTCGGACTTCAGCCGGTCCACATGCTTCATGTCTGTAGCCGACGTGGCCAAGGCAATGCCCCAGAAGTTCTTCACAAGATCCAACGTCAAAGGCATCAGGACGGAAGGTGAAGGTGAACATCAGAAATTTTTAGAACGGAAGATTCCCGCCGGTTCAGTGTTAGAAACAAGAGGTAAGAAATATGCAATTGTGTAAGAAATGTGGCATTATGTAAGAAATGTGACAGTGTGTGTCATAAATGTTGAAAAGAGGTAAGAAATATGCAATTGTGTAAGAAATGTGGCATTATGTAAGAAATGTGACAGTGTGTGTCATAAATGTTGAAAAGAGGTAAGAAATGTGACATTATGTCTCATAAATTTTGACAATACGACAGTAGATGCGAAATCAGGGTTGCAGTTGGCTGGTGAAATTAAGTGTATTCGTCACAAAAATGCAGACGTCGTCTTTTAATACAAGAATTCTAAAAGTTTTGTTGACAGAAATTTATTGTTCAATAGTTTTAAGAATATAATCAATACCTGTACAAGGAATAAGACGTATAACGGTACAAAGATTATGACCTATACCGGTACAAAGAATATGATCTTTCTGGTTCAAGGAATATGATCTTTACCGGTACAAGTAATATGATATATACCAGTACAAAGAATAGGATATATACCGTTACAAAGAATAGGACCTGTACCGGTACAAAGAATAGGATCTGTACCGGTACAAAGAATAGGACCGTTACAAGGAAATCGTTTTTTATAGAAGTCGTCAGAAAGTGAAGTAAAAAATGTCACTTCCGTTTTTTCAGGAACGTTTACTGCCAAATGGAAGACAGTTGCAGAGACGGGTCTTTTAAAGAAGAAAACTAAAGAGTGGGAGTTCCAGGAAGTGACGTATTTGAAGTGTTTGGACCGTGACCAGACAGAAATCCTGGTTCCGTTGAAACACAAGGGAAAGTTCAATGCCATTTACGAGAAAGGTCACCTGACACAGAATGCGGTGTACAATGTCAAGGACATTCTGTCGGACCTCTCGCTGCCCATTAAAGTGAGGCTGCTGTTCGGGAAGGCTCCGGTGGTACCTTGCATATTCACAGGTGAGTTAATGGCCAAGTGGAACCTTGCATATTCACAGGTGAGTTAACAGCCAAGTGTACCTTGTACCGGGATTCAGCTGTAGTTTTCACCGAATGCAGGACGATTGATTTGCGCCCCTATTTGTATGCAGTTTTTTCATCATTTGGCGCACTTTGGCGTTGTTCACCAATTGGCTCGTTGACCTCACGCTTGTCCCGACCGTGGCCATGAGATTTTGTTTCAATTTATTCATTTTGATCATTCTTTTAAACATAGTTATTGTCTTTTTATTATTATATTTTCATCATTCAATATATTTCTTCTCATATTTATATCACTTTTTTCGACTAAGGTCAACACTCACACTAAGTGCAATGCTAATGCACCAGTTGATTAAGTGCAATGCTAATGCACCAGTTGATTAAGTGCAATGCTAATGCATCAGTTGATTAAGTGCAATGCTAATGCATCAGTTGATTAAGTGCAATGCTAATGCACCAGTTGATTAAGTGCAATGCTAATGCATCAGTTGATTAAGTGCAATGCTAATGCATCAGTTGATTAAGTGCAATGCTAATGCATCAGTTGATTAAGTGCAATGCTAATGCATCAGTTGATTAAGTGCAATGCTAATGCATCAGTTGATTAAGTGCAATGCTAATGCATCAGTTGATTAAGTGCAATGCTAATGCATCAGTTGATTAAGTGCAATGCTAATGCATCAGTTGATTAAGTGCAATGCTAATGCATCAGTTGATTAAGTGCAATGCTAATGCATCAGTTGATTAAGTGCAATGCTAATGCATCAGTTGATTAAGTGCAATGCTAATGCACCAGTTGATTAAGTGCAATGCTAATGCACCAGTTGATTAAGTGCAATGCTAATGCACCAATTGATTAAGTGCAATGCTAATGCATCAGTTGATTAAGTGCAATGCTAATGCACCAGTTGATTAAGTGCAATGCTAATGCACCAGTTGATTAAGTGCAATGCTAATGCACCAGTTGATTAAGTGCAATGCTAATGCACCAGTTGATTAAGTGCAATGCTAATGCACCAGTTGATTAAGTGCAATGCTAATGCACCAGTTGATTAAGTGCAATGCTAATGCACCAGTTGATTAAGTGCAATGCTAATGCACCAGTTGATTAAGTGCAATGCTAATGCACCAATTGATTAAGTGCAATGCTAATGCACCAGTTGATTAAGTGCAATGCTAATGCACCAGTTGATTAAGTGCAATGCTAATGCAGCAGTTGATTAAGTGCAATGCTAATGCACCAGTTGATTAAGTGCAATGCTAATGCACCAGTTGATTAAGTGCAATGGTAATGCACCAGTTGATTAAGTGCAATGCTAATGCACCAGTTGATCTTTCAATGGGACAAAAATAATATATATAAAAAAAATATTTGATAAAAATTATTTGCGAAGGATTGCATTTGGGAGACAAAAGAGCCTTCACCTTTTTTGTCTTAGGGGTCCTATGCACAATTAATTCTGCATTTCAACATATTTCTGTCTTTAGATGTGATCAATAAAAATGTTACCCACGTACATTTTACCCACATACATTTTATCAATATATATTTTACCCACATGCATATTACCAACGTACATTTTATCAACGTACATTTTACCCACATACATTTTACCAACGTACATTTTACCAACGTACATTTTATCAACGTACATTTTACCCACATACATTTTATCAATATATATTTTACCCACATGCATATTACCAACGTACATATTACCAACGTACATTTTACCAACGTACATTTTATCAACGTACATTTTATCAACGTACATTTTACCAACGTACATTTTACCAACGTACATTTTACCAACGTACATTTTACCCACGTACGTTTCAGGTATGCTTGTGATTCGTGATGCAGCCACGGATGATTCAGTTGTAGGAAGTACAGTGCTCAACACAAGAAATGTCCTCTTTGAGATTCCACTCTCTGCGCCGGTCAAGGTATACATTTATGTGAATGCTTGAACTCAGAGGGTATTGCAATAACGTTTCTGTGTCTGTAATTAGGTCAAATATGTCTCTCTAATTAGGTCGTATATGTCTCCTTAATTAGGTCAAATATGTCTCTCTAATTAGGTCAAATATGTCTCTCTATTCAGGTAAAACATAGATCTCTAATCAGATCAAATATTGATCTCTAATCAGGTCAAATATGTGTCTCTAATTAGCTCAAATATATCTCACTAATCAGGTCTAATATGTATCTCTAATCAGTTCAAAAAAGTATCTCTAATCAGATCAAATATGTCTCACTAATAAGGTCAAATATGTCTTTTTAATAAGGTCAAATATTTCTTTCTAATCAGGTCAAATATGTCTCTAAGGACGATCACTTCAAAGACATGTCTACATACAAAGATGCCCAGAAACTTTGCAAAAAATACGCCAACGTCTTCAGCACAATGATAAAACTTGCACCTGACCTTGACACTGATCAGAAGGTCATCATGCACGTGCCGACAGACTCGTCGCTCATGCACCAGGTTGACGAATGTCTCCGCGCGCTCGACCTTATAACGGACATCAGTTTCGCCGGTGAGCCAAAGGACTACCTCCTGGACTCCGACGCCGGGTCGGTGGCCAGTGAAGATACTCTGGTCGTCCCGCCATCGGGGGCGGTCACTGAGGTGACTGAGTTCCAGAGCAGAGAATCTCAGACTTTTGTCTGAGTGCATGCTTCACGTTCCTTCTGTAAATGACGTGGCGAGTCGTTGACTAGTTACGTACTCGGAGATCTACTCACCTCCGGCAGACGTTGTAGCCAAGGAAAGCATAGAACTTGAACAGACCGGTGCTAACAAGGAGCTGCCAGGCGATGATCCCTAACAGAGACCTCATTAAACTACCCCTAAAACAACGTTTTTCCTATAAATCCTTTCATTTGAATTTATTATTGGATATTAATAGTCTAATGTACCCCACCCGCTTTTAAATGCAGATTTATTTCTACAATTATTTAGTGGGGGGAAAAAAGAAAATTTTGTGCATCAAACTCATTTGGACTTTAAAAAAAAAAAAAAAAAGAATCTCACTTATCTGGCAGTTATCTGGAATTTTAGTTCGTGAAATCAGTGGCCTCATATTTCCTTCAGTTTCCCCTAGGAAAAACTTATTTTTGGGGGTTGGAGGTGGGGCTGAACATTTGAGAGAATGTTTGTCATCAGCAACGAGTCTATGTGCCAAGTTTCAACTCCATAGGTTGAAGGGAAGTGGGTCAGTTAGCAGTACAAAGAATTTGCCACACACCCAGAAAGAAAGAAAGAAGCACAGGAACAAAAGCGGAGCTAATCGAAAGGATTTAAAAAGGAACCCAATTTTGATCAAGTATATAGTGATTGACTTCCTGTGCCACTAGTGATTGACTTCCTGTGCCACTAGTGATTGACTTCCTGTGCCACTAGTGATTGACTTCCTGTGTCACTAGTGATTGACTTCCTGTGACGCTAGTGATTGGCTTCATGCGTCACTAGTGATTGACTTCCTGTGTCACTGGTGATTGACTTCCTGTGTCACTAGTGATTTGCCTCCGCCTCGTGTGTCAAATATGATCACGATGGATTGCTCAGCGATTCTTGAAATATTTTGAAGAAGATTACTTAGCGGAAGTCCGGCCAATCCATGACGTGACCAATTAACAGATTGACCAAATTTATTATATATTTATTGACAAAATATATATTGATATTTATTAGAGGTTGTGCGACCCTCTTAAGTAGCTTACATATTTGTATTTGGGAATGGACCATAAGATGTTTTATTATAAGGTTGTCTCTTTTCTAAATAAATATTTTCCTTACGATCATGATAGCCTTTGCAAAAATAATGTATCTTTCATTATGTATTTTATCAGAATTTCGTTTCGACTAATATAAATCACACTTTTAGAAGTAGGCTATAAATAGATATATTCGTCAGGTATTTGTTTGTAAAGTTTGCATTTTAAAAAAACTAACTAGAAAATAGAGCCAAACATCCGGAAACGGTACTCAACTCATGCAAGTAGCTAAGAGTTATCTACTGACACATCTTTGAATTTTGAAAGGTTTGAGAATTTAAATTTAAGCGTTCCCTCTTAGTTGTGGTTTTCTTCCACTGATGTCACATTATTTATTGTTATCATTCCGAATTCGGAGAGGGGTGAACGAGATCATTGAAGTTACCACGCGCATTGCGATGTAAGTATTAATTAAATAACTAAATAGTGGTCAGTTGTTTTGAAGACAGCTCCATGATGCGTACAAGTTTCGCTTGCTCACTAATTTTAACAAATCTCTCTCATGTCTTTCAATCTGCTTCAATATTCTCCCTTTTCCCACTGCTGTCTCCGTTGTTAACTTGAGAGAATAATTGAAGCATACGTTTTTAACTCGTTGTAAGTCGCATCAATAAGCACCATTATGTTGATTTTATTTAATAAGCTAGCTATAGCCAGCCAAACAATGGAGGTGGCAATGCGTGACCTTCCTATCTGCTAAAGTTACTTGACAAAAACTTGCATTCAAGTAACGCACTTTTTAAATTTTCTAATTAGTGATACCCCCCCCCCCAACCACCCCCGGTACGACACCGCCCCTTAAACTATATTAATTGTTTTAATGTATCCCCCATTTTTACACGTGACCTTCCTATCTGCTAAAGTTACTTGACAAAAACTTGCATTCAAGTAACGCACTTTTTAAATTTTCTAATTAGTGATACCCCCCCCCCAACCACCCCCGGTACGACACCGCCCCTTAAACTATATTAATTGTTTTAATGTATCACCCATTTTTACACTGCAGATTTATATTAAAACACCAAATAGAATCAAATATTTTGCACCAAACTCTCTTAAGGTATTTTTAAGAATCTCATTTAGCGCAGTTATTGGGAATTTTATTTATTGAAATCAGCGCCACCTGGAAGCATTAGTAACATTGTTACATTGAGAATTGTGTCTTTTGATAATGGATGTCTCTTTTAAGATTAAATATTTGTAAAAGTCACATTGGGGGAAACACGCAATCTGTCTGAAGCTGCTGTAATTACTTGCTTTTTTTTTTTTTTATTTTTTTTTTTTCTTTTTTTTTTTTTTTTTTTTTTTATTTTTTTTTTTAAAGATTCTTTTTTTAATTTTTTAAATTTTATTCAAAATCAAAATTATTCAATTCTCATATAATACAGAGTAAACTATTTACAGGCAAAATTACCGAAGTGTTAACTGAACAAAGTTTGACGTCATGTGCTGAAATAACCTATTGAAATAATAGTTACTGAAATTCTAATTAAATAGTGTCTACTAAATTGAACACTTGTTTCTATTATGAATTATTTAACATATATATAAGAATGAGCTAGGTTCACATAACGCCAAAAGGGAGAACTTTTTAAGTACGTTCTAAGGTCATGTTTAAAGGGGAAAAAGTAGTTTAGGAGCGTGAAAGGGAGTAAGGTAGGCTTATATTATATAGCAGATAAATACTTCTCAAAACTTAATGATGCTAGAAATGTTAATAGCATTATATTTTTAAAGTTATGAATTGTAATAATTTTTTTTGCAATAGCACTTAGTAATTTACGCAAAGGACCTATCATTATTATCCCGATAATATCGGGTCATTTATTCTAGTAATGTATAAATTAATTGGAATGATAAACAAATCATTTGAACGTATTATTCTGTCATTATATTTTCTTAAATTATGTTTTAAATTATGTTTTGTATTTTACATCTAAAAAGTGTTTCTAATGTAATGTTTATGTAATTATGTTTGTGAAAAAAAGCCTTAAGTCTGTGGTGCCATTCATGTTTTCTGTATTGTGAAAGTAACATCAGACTTAATGTGCGTTGTTTGTGGTTTTTGTTGGATGCTGGTATTGTGTTGAGTGTTATAGCTCTTTACGCGACTGTTCGAGTGTGATAGTTGCTCATCTTTGCATGAATGGAATATGTAGGCTATGTGTGTGTGATTTTATTTAAAGTGGCGAGTTGGTTATGCATACGGCAATACATTATTTATAATACTAATTAAAACACTATGTTTACAATGCTAATCATCGAGATTTATTTTTGTAAGTCAGTAAATCAAAGAATATAAAGACAAAATGCCTTAGAGTTACGGGTATAATTTATTCAAACGCGCTACACAATCAGTAAAAAAATGTAAGTCGTAATAACAGAACCAGGAAAAAAACAACAGATTTTACATTAATTTGACCAAAAGTAAATTTTGTTCCCGGTCGAGCCTGTATATCTATTAAGCGTAATAAGCTTTTTCTTGAAATGAATTGAAGTGAATCCTCTTTAAGATGACCACTGTCTTGTTTGTCAGGAAACGGAACATCACCAGATGATGCAAAAATACAAACGGTGATGTTGAGACAGGTTCCACAAATAAGAACTCCACAAAAATAATACATGAATAAATGCATACATTAACCATAATGTTTATAGTATAAAAAGTAATAGCATTGGGTGTTAAAATACTGTTTAAAGTAAAGAAAATACAAAGGGTTCATTACAGTTGGCATGTGAATTATGTTTTAACTATTTTTGGTGCACCAAATTTACTTATAGTTAGCTATAATTGGGGCACCAAATGTACTTCTATTTAGCTATAATTGGGGCATCAAATGTACTTCTATTTAGCTATAATTGGGGCACCAAATGTACTTCTATTTAGCTATAATTGGGGCACCAAATGTACTTCTATATAGCTATAATTGGGGCACCAAATGTACTTCTATTTAGCTATAATTGGGGCACCAAATGTACTTCTATTTAGTTATAATTGGGGCACCAAATGTACTTCTATTTAGATATAATTGGGGCACCAAATGTACTTCTGTAAAGCTAGTGGTCTCTGACTGTCAAAATCTGGGCTTGCACTGGACTCATTGATTATTGGAACATCTTGTAGAACGCAGGCCATGGGTTTGGATTAGCTACTCACATTTTCTTTTAAATGGGACTCTTTTAGAAATAATGATTAAAATAATGCAAAATAAATTACACTAAATGCCAGTTACCATAATCTCAAAGATGACAGGTTTTTTTCTTCTTGGAAGACCATCATGACCACTTTCTACCTTTGATTTACTATGGCTTATGCAGTGGTCAACACGTCACTAGTGTCAAACAAGCGCGGATAAAAAATAACCACTACAATATTTGCATCTGTTGCAAAAATATTATCAAGTTTTAATATTAAAAAAAAAAAAGAAACCTAGTATCGAATCGATATATTCTATTTATTTGAACCTGAATATGCTAGGTGTATTATATTTTTTTTGGTGGTGGGGCGGGGGTTAAGGGGGCGGGGGGTAAGGGGGCTGTGTGTGTTGCAGACCCATGAGCCCTTCATTGTTCAGAAGTGAGATAGATCGTCAGCCAGTAATGTTGGAAAACCAGCATGCACACAGTTAAATTAACGGTAAATCAAAATAATACGTGACAAGCGATATTCAAACTGCTTTTTATTTTTATATACGTTTTTACAAAATACCGCTGGAAGGGCGTCATTGACCCCTTTACTGATATACACACCCCAACCCCCACCGCACACATTTGGTAAATGCATTTAGTCTTACAAACTGAGGTGAGTTGGCGAACATTAAGACAACACTTCCATTCATATAAATGTAAAAATTAGCAAAATGGGGGGAGGGGGGGGGGAATAGCGAGCTGTGGTAATGAAAATGAAAATGCCTACGGTGGTTTGTGGTTTGTGGTTTTCACGGGTAAAGGATAACGTTTAATGTTACGACAGTTCATGTTACCATGGCAACAGGCTAGCTATAACCTCTCATGGTTCAAGGATAATACATGAAGTAGTAGGACAAGGTATGTGAGAGCTTGAAATATGAATATCATGATAAAACAGGGATCTAATGATCCTAGTTCAGTTTCAGGACCACTTGAATGGCTACTAAGAGACAACTGACCCATCTTTGATGCAAATTCAACCACTGTCCTATTGGATGTTTGTCTCTTGGTGAACTTGTTGCTACTGAAATCTGACCTACTCCTGATCGTTCGTAGAATCGGCCTGTTCTATGCCATAATCTCTCTTGACCTTGACGGTCGCCATGTAAGCCTCGGTTTCATTCTTAGCGAACTTGAGACACTTCTGCTGGAGAGCTCCGACCGGCACTTCATTTGAGTTCAAAGCCACGAGGAAGAAAGGTTCGGAGGTCACGGCCATTTCGAACAGACGCGGTGCCGGTGACAAGGTCGAGACGATCACCGTGTGCTCCTCGGTCACGTGGGAGAACTCCAGCAGTCCGGTGAAGCTGCACTCCTCTAGCGGTGGCTTTCCGTGCACCATTCTGACCCTCAGAGATTTCATCCTCTGAACTTCGAACTCTGTCCACCTGTGGGCCATGCAAGCCGGGCTGACGCTGACGTTGGTCTTCGGGAAGCTGGAGCCGAGGGCGCCGATGTAGAAGATGCCTTTGGTTTCCAGCGGGAACAGGGCGATCTTACCACGGTCGTCCTCACAACTCAGGCAACGGACCAGTTTCTTCTTTTCAGACTTCCGTTTGTTGATGTATGTGATCGTGTCTTGTAGAACGTTGGTGGGCTTGTACAGGCCCGTGGGGACCACTGACTTTTGGTAGAGGTTTTCCTGGTGAATGCAATAAGTATACGTTGTTTTGAGTTGTGAATATCAGCTTATGACGACACATTGTGTTTTTTAAGCATTTCAGGTAAATGTTAAAAATAAGCTTTTCAACCAATGGCAATAACAGGCAAAACAAAATCTTTAAAAACACTTTTTTTTTTTAAAGTAGCCCCGAAAAACTGCTGCAAGAAATATAATCCTGCATTGAAATTTAATCATTGCCATAAGCGATGATTTTCTTTTTCAAATTCTCAGAAATAATTAAAATAATAAAAAAAAAATTTTTTGCAATTTGTTATAGCTTCTTAAACAAAAATAAATCAAATTAAGGTACTAGGTATGTCAGTGCAAAACTGGGTACCTCACTGCAATTCTGGGTACTTCAGTGCGATACTGGGTACATCGGTGCAATATTGGGTATGTCCGTGTATTACTGGGTACGCCAGTGTCATACTGGCTAGAATCAGGGGAGGAGAATTACTTTGTTTTGGGGGGCCCAAAATTATGTATTTAAAGATATTCTACAACGTCAATGAAGAATTCGAGGAGCAAATTTTGAAACTTTTTAACGTACTTAAAGAGCTTCGCCTTCAGGAAGATCAGCCATATCAAAAGGAAAGTCATTCAATAAGAACAACTTAGCCCATAGTGAATGAATACAATATGTATGCATAAAGCTTGGCAAATTACACAGAACACATCATGTACACAGAGCACACCGTGTACACAGAGCACACCGTGTACACAGAGCACACCTGTACACAGAACAAACCGTGTTAAACATACCCCGAATTGGCTGACGCACAGATACCCCTCATAATCTCCAGCACTGATGAATAACTTGGGCATGATCCTTGTGACGTCGCCAATGCTTAGCAGCGGGTGATCTTTGGTGTCAATTTCTCGGAAGTAACCTAACAGGACACACACAAAATCATAACCTCACAGGACACAGATTAAATCTTAATCTAACAGGACACACAAAAAATTATAATCAACTAGGACACACTGAAAATCATCCATCAGTCATTTTTTTGTTGGTGTCTTCTTATTCTTAAGATTGTGGGTGTCGACTTTTGATGACACTTGGATCCAATGGATATCTAAAATATTTTTTCTTCTCCCAGATAAATTCCTTGGTTTCATTATTTAGATATTTGGGGAGATGATAAGTTTCACTCAAATATCCATGGATATCAATCGTATATGCATTATGAACAAATAATTGGAAAATACATGTCATGACGATACAATGAACATGTCATGGCGATACAATGAACATGTCATGGCGATACAATGAACATGTCATGACGATACAATGAACATGTCATGACGATACAATGAACATGTCATGACGATACAATGAACATGTCATGGTGATACAATGAACATGTCATGGTGATACAATGAACATTTCAGCTACATTCCAATGTCGGCTCATCTATGAGTCAGGGAACAAAAAGATTGTAAACGATGTTTGATCCCATTTCCATGGCAGTCCTACCAATGTAAACTGTAATTGTGGAAAGGTTAGTTTCACGAGCCAGGCTAATCCGCGTTCATTGCTTATCGGGGGGGGGGGGGGGGTCCCTGATCCTGGTTTTGACTTTAACGGTTACGAATACGTCGGATCGGGGTCCTGGACGCTGTTCTTCGTGAGTGGCCGTGCAAGAGCGTCCTGCTCAGTCACGCTTCAGCAGATATTAATGTTAATGTCGGTTAATAACGCAGCAAAATATGTCATTCATCTGTCAGACATAACTTGGGCCAGCCAAAAATAAAAAATGTGAGAGCTTTCTCTATCAATAAAGTGTTGTGTTCAACGAGGCCACCAAGCAAAATAGTATTCATATTGATTATGGATTCTTACTCCGGGAATTGTTTCTAAAAAGGAGATTTTCCTAGTCTAAGAGATTGGCAGCCAATATCTATATATAATGCTAATTTTTATTCCAAAGTAGATATCGAAAAATAGGGATCTAAGTTCAAACCTATCATACAAAATATTTGTCTCCATAAACTCTAATAATCTTCTTCTTCTTCTACCAGTTCTTGATAGTGATATTTCAGATTTATTTGTAGCAGATTAGAGTTATTCAGACACCCTTCGAGAGTTGAATATGTGCCAGGCTATCATTTAGTGCGAAAAGTAGGATTTTTATGAATAGATTATAAAATAAAGTCTTTTTAGCTATATTTAATCTGTCGTTTATAAATATTTAGTCGCTGAGAGTGTTTTCTGTTCTGCGTATAATTTGTACAGAACTATCACTGGATGGCATCAATTTTCTTATGTACCTGTGAATGTGTCTGGGAACGTGGCGTAAGGCCTCAGATTCACTACTTACCAGTCTTTGTGTCTGGAAATAATGACGTAAGAAATCAGTTTCACTCCTTACCCGTGAATGTGTCTGGGAACGTGACGTAAGGTCCCACCTTATCGTGGACGATGCGGGTGGTGTCAATGGTGGCGGACTTCGCCCGTATGTTTCGAGCATGGAGCTTCTTGCCTTTGAACTCCTTGTACAGTAGCAACGGTCTCTGCAGGTCAATGGGGGTCTCGTGGTCTTTCACCATGCCGTCGCTGCACAGCTGAAACATCGATTGGAGACGTGACACGACGGACAACGTTTGATTCGTCGAATTAATAAAACATGAACAGGAAAGCAGTAAATCAAAATGTCTGCCAAAAAGAAAACTAAACTTATAATAAAAAATTCTAGAAATGTTAAATCAGAGCAAACGTTAGATGCAAAAATCAAGGGAGTTTTAAATAATGTTTGTCTTTGTATGGATAGTATTGAATTTATTGTGTACATTTTTATTTAATCCGTAAATTTGAGGGTAACAATAACATTTTATCCATATTAACATGTATCTATTTCACCATTAATTTCAAATTCCAGGACATTAAATTAAACTTTGGCCAGGTCATTATATACACATCTGGCCAGGGCACCACATTCACCTCTGGCCAGGGCATCACATTCTCCTCTGGCCAGGGCATCACATTCACATATGTCCAGGGCATCACATTCAGCTCTGACCACGGCTCCAGTGTCAAAATCAACAATGCAACCACAACAAGAACAATAATTATTGAACCATTGTTTCGCTCCGAACTGAAGCGGGTCCTACCTTGACGACGACAGGCAGCGTTGCATCCTTCAAGATATCGCTGAGGCTTTTGGCGCTCTCGCTCCACACGTACTCCGTCTCACCGGGCTCCGTGAAGGACGACTTGTAGAGGTCGATGCCGGACGCTGACGTGGACGCGACCTCCGACTTGGTACGCTGACCTCCCACGAATTCGTAGTTGTGACCTAGCATCATTTTGTAGCGGCTGTTGGACGAAAAGAAACAACACTAGGGCGTCTTCATGGGGGCCATCCATTTAGTACAGTAAGAAAAAGAAAAAATCTCCCCCCCCCCACCTACCGTCAGTTATACGCTTAATTTGTTGGCACCCCCCCCCACCCTTTCATGCTTACATACAAGAAGCTTTCGATCACACCAACCCCCCACACCCCCCTTCCCCCCAAGGAAAAGAAACAAAAAAAAGAAAAAATCCCCCCCCCCCCCCTACCGTCATTTATACGCTTAATTTGTTGGCACCCCCCCCCACCCTTTCATGCTTACATACAAGAAGCTTTCGATCACACCAACCCCCCACACCCCCCTTCCCCCCAAGGAAAAGAAACAAAACTAAATCAAATAATTTATAGATAATTATGACGTCACAGAAATCAAACAAAAACAAGTGTCACGGGCTTACAACGCCGACTGTTAGGCCAGCCCAGGGGTTCTCATAATATACGTCACGTTGCTCTTTTTTCTTCACGTTGCCCTAGGGCAAAACCACTAGAAAGCTGTGAAAAGGGGCAGAGGCCAACATCATTGTCTCCGAAATCTTAAGATCACATCTGAAGATTAGTAAATTAAAAGATACCCACCCCCAGTTTTTCCTACTCAACTGTTGAAAGTTTTAATTGTACGTGTTGCCCATCAAATGGTTTTCGTTTTGAAAGCATAAACTATCTAAGTACTGTATTGATGTATTTTGTTTAGAACTGACATACTTTAAAATTGCCTGACAAATGAAGGGATTGGTAGTCAAACTAAGAATTAGCTCTTCTAATACAAACACTGAAAGTCGCTGGTTCTTGATAATAAAAAGGAGAAGCATGAATTCCTGAGATGTCTGATTTTGTGATGAAGTGAATAAAAATAACCATGGCTTCATTATTTGTGTCGCCACTGTACTAGCCGCGACTTTATAAAAATGTGTGATTGAGTCATTTAATTAATTACCATGGGACATCGAAGTATACGATACAAATATGGAATAAAAACTAATAATATCTAACACCCTTCAAGTCTCAATTTTTCAAAACACTCAATAATATAAAAAAAAAAAAATGTTTGCATATGAATACATATTCTTAGCATTTTAGGTCACAGGTAGCTGAGAAACCATTTTAAAGCTCCGAGACATACGTCTAAAACTTTGAGACACACTTTTAAAACTCTAAAACACACTTTTATAGCTCTAAGACAACCTTTTTTTAAACTCTGAGATGCACATTTAAAGCTCCAACACACACTTTAAAAGTTCTGAGACGCTCTTTTTGAACTCTGAGACTTTTAGATGTATAAAAAACAATTTCAAAACTACAAGACACACCTATAAAGCCACCCTTTTAAAGCTCTGAGACACACTTTTAAAGCTCCGAGACTCAGTTTTAAGCCAATGAGACACCCATTTAAAACTCTAAGACACATTTTCAAAACCCTTACACCTGAACGCTCTGTGACACCCTTTGTAGCTCTGAGACAACCTTTTAAAACTCCGAGACACACCTTTACAGCTATAAGACGCCCCTTGAACGCCCTGTAACCTCTTGTTCACATTTCTGACAAGTAATAACCTACTTTTGTTATGTATGAAATTGAATCTCTCTTTATTTCCTTTTTTTTTTTACCACGATCCATTTTTCGGTTCTTTTCGTTAATTGCTAGAGAAGAAAAAAAAAGTTGTTATTTTAATATCTATCCCTTAGTGTCTTGCCTGAACAGAGTACTACCAAAAAAAAAAATGGTTTGTTAAAGGTGTATGAGCCTATCCATCATCCTTGCTGATGCTCCTGCACCTAGATGACACGTGCTGGCAATGACAACTGAGACTCTTAATGGGAAAGTAATTGTTGTACAGTGAAAAGGGGGGGGGGGCGTGGCAGATAACATTGTCGTCTGTAAGATTAATCACCCTTGTGCTTCTCTTGTGAAAGGAGGTGCGACAGAGAGAATGTGTGACATAGACTTTTTAGCCTGCCAACAAGGCATTGAAATCTTTATATCTTTATATAACCATTTTTTTTGTTATAATTTTTTTAATTTGAGAAACATTATCTGGAACAACTTCTGGCTTTGGAGTAAAATAATTTGAGTCATTTTTGGCGCAAAGGTGGTTGAAAAAAGTTTCAGTTCAAAATAGATCTTGTGATGAGATGTCACCCTTCGCTATATCTTTCATGCGAGACGCCCAGAATGAACAATACAAATTGATCGTAGATCCTCAAAATATGGAAGAGGAGAAGTCCAATGCCCAAATTAATCGTCGAATTAGCTGGTTTGTTGTTGTTTTCGGTTTACACATAAGAAAATATTAGACCCTCTTAAAAAGAATTTTAAGAGCTCAATGGTTCACAAAATATATTATATTGTCAGTTGAAATTTGGGTCCTTTTTTCGCGTACACCTAGCCGGGTTGATGTCGAGGAAAAGAGGCGCCAATGGCGAGGCCTAAATAGGTCACCCTAACATATAGAGCAAATGTTTCGAGCAGGATGAACGAGTAAAAGGGCGGCTTTCGTGTCCGTTGTCTTTGTGAATTCCATGGAATGTTATTATTTAATTCGCTATCGAAAGACGATTTTGTCGCCCCCTGGGGTTTTCGTCCGGGGCGAGTTCACCATTCACCACCCCCCCCCCTTTTTTTTTCTATCCCAAGGCCCTGTCTATAACTGTCTGTTGTCTATAACTGTCTGTTGTCTATAACTGTCTGTTGTCTATAACTGTCTGTTGTCTATAACTGTCTGTTGTCTATAACTGTCTGTTGTCTATAACTGCCTGTTGTCTATAAATGTCTGTTGTCTATAACTGTCTGTTGTCTATAACTGTCTGTTTTCTATAACTGTCTGTTGATAACAAGCGATAATTTAGATCCGTCTTTTTATGGCTTCAGGGCGGAAATGCAACCTTCAATAACAAGTTTCAAACTATTTTTATCCTGCACCGTTGGCATTCATTACATTTCTAAAGAGAGGGAAAAAATGTATAAAACATGTTTTGCAAAGGCTTTTGTAGGCCTCTTATTCTTTCACAGTTCGAGTGTGGCTCGTCTGAAGTATGTTCCAAACAACAGCTGGATCAAGAATCGTAAGGCTTCCGGCAGTTTGATGATTAACTTCCCTTTTAGTTAATTTAGCCTGTAAGCAAGGGGTGTAACTCAAAGTGTGAAGTTCAGAAGTGGTAAAGATATAAATGATAGCGCAATATAGCGGAGCGAAATATATCTTCCAGTTACACAATGCGCTGCTACTAACAAGCCTTATTAATTTATTTTTTTAAAATTATGTGTTTTTTTTTCTTTTCTTAGGTGAGATTAGGTAAGCAGCTCTTTCATTCTAATAGTAAATTTCCATAGAGCGAAATTAGTCATTTTCCTTGAGTAGCCTACACCTAAAACTATAACGATGTATATTTAGATAAAATCTCAACGCCAAGTACAAATCCATAACACGTGCAATACTTTTAGATACGTAGAACAAGCAGTGAAGGCTGATGGTTATACATGCGGTGACGTGCTGATCATGCAATGTTGAGGTTTCGATCCTCAATCAGAACATTTCAATAACGATAGCAATAGCTATTCGTAACCGGGTACCAGAAGTGAGAGGTTGGGATTAAAAAACTATTTAAAATTTTATTGTTGGGTTTGTAAGACAAAATGAGGTATCAAATGAAAGGTAATTGAATGGACTATATGTTTGTCAACTTAATTCTTCAGTTTAACTAAAATAAACTACCGCAAATGACATCCAAATAGCATTTAGTCAAAATGGACCCAGACACGCATCGCCGCCATTCGCACCCGAGTACCATTAGACTTAAGCTTTTCGAGCAGGTTTTCAAACGAAATGTTTCATTTCAAAACTTTGTAAACACAGGTCCCAGGAGTTGTCCTACACTCACAGTGTGTCCACACCTTCCACAGGTAGATTGCCAACATACAGCAGCAACAGCGCACTCTTATTCACAGAGTGTCCACGCCTTCAACAGGTAGACTGCAAACATACAGCAGCAACAGCGCACTCTTATTCACAGTGTGCCCACACCTTCCACAGGTAGACTGCCAACATACAGCAGCAACAGCGCACTCTTATTCACAGAGTGTCCACACCTTCAACAGGTAGACTGCCAACATACAGCAGCAACAGCACATTCTTATTCACAGAGTGTCCACACCTTCCACAGGTAGACGGTAGACTGCCAACATACAGCAGCAACAGCGCACTGTTATTCACAGAGTGTCCACACCTTCCACAGGTAGACTGCCAACATACAGCAGTAACATCGCACTGTTATTCACAGAGTGTCCACACCTTCCACAGGTAGACTGCCAACATACAGCAGCAACAGCGCACTGTTATTCATGGAGCGAACACAGGCACGCCGGGGTGATTAAAAAAAAACCCAACCTTTTAACAATTAATTTCTCAACAAGAAAGGCCTTGTATGCTTGAAATATAAATACAGGACAATAAAGGAAGAACGTTTCGGCAAAGACTCTTCCTCGGCAGAAAGGACAAATGAAAAAAAAAACAAAACAATAAATAGGAAATAGTTTTAAAAATTAAAGGTTAGATCTAACCCTGTTATAGCCGGAAGTTGGAATTTTAAATGGGGTGCGCAAGGAACTTTGGACATTACTTTTAAAAAAAGGAAACAGATTTATTTGAATAATACGCTGATTAAAGGAGGCTTAACGTCTCAAAATTAAATGCTTTAATAAACACTTTAAATTAAAATAGCTTCGAAATGCGCCATATTATATTGCTTGATCCTATTACAAACGGGCCAACATATTTCTCTAAAAGTCTTCTAAAATTGTTTCATTCAATCATTGAAACAGTTCGATAAAATATAAGAGTTCCACTTGTTATAACTGGATGTCTGCATTCAATTGTATGAAAGGCCAAAAATATTAGATAATTTTTTTTTTACAAATTGCGTTTTTAAAAAGGAATCTAGAATCTTCACCAAAATAAGAGAATGCAACATAAAAACAGTGTAAACTCACCAAAATAAGAGAATGAAACATACAAACAGTGTAAACTCACCAAAATAAGAGAATGCAACATAAAAACAGTGTAAACTCACCAAAATAAGAGAATGCAACATACAAACAGTGTAAACTCACCAAAATAAGAGAATGAAACATACAAACAGTGTAAACTCACCAAAATAAGAGAATGAAACATACAAACAGTGTAAACTCTAAAGTCCTACCCCTTCTTCGGCATCTTTAATCCTCATCCTCTGTTAAATAAACTATTTTAATGAACCCCCTATAGGTGTCACCCAAACCAGGTGCACCTACACAAAAGATGAAGTTATGAAGCAAATATTCTACAGACTACATCTCGGCTCACCTGTGAGAGGAGGCATAAAAAGTACGTCCCGTTTATTATTAGTCTACCGAGCAGGTTTTCAAACGAAATGTTTCACTTCAAGAAAACTATGTAAACACAGGTCCCAGGAGTTGTCATACACTCACAGTGTGTACACACCTTCCTCAGGTAGACTGCCAACATACAGCAGCAACAGCGCACTGTTATTCACGGAGCCAACACAGACACGCCTGGGTGACTCAAACAAAACAAAAAAGAAGTTTCACAGTTAACTTCTCAACAAGAAAGGCCTTGTGGTTTAAGTCAGAGCCCTTGCTGAATGAAGCGGTTACGACACGCCCGAGAAGGCGCAGAATATCCCTTTTGTTATGAGGTAGTAATACATTACTGCCTTGTGGTGTTGAAGTTGAAGACGCACATCTCAAAGACTGTGCTGGGGGTGCACATACATCTGCGTTGCGTTCCAGTTACCGTTCAGGTGTTATTATTCAATGTTATTTCGTCACGGGTTATGCTTCCCGTTCTTTCAATATCTATTTATAGTTTAAGATCCAGCAATCTGGGGCTTGATTAAGATTTGAAGAGTCCAGTTGTACCCTCTGTGTTGGTTGGGGGGGGGGGGATTAAATCAACGCATTAGAGTTAGACATTATTTTTAAAAAATTATTCAGCCAACACTAAAATTATTGAATTCTTGGAACAATCTTTCGGAAATTAAAAAAAGAACGCTCTCCACATGAGTTTTTAAAATATATCTAAACATATTTTCCATTTTAATTTATTTGATGTAATCATGCTACTAACAAGCGCTGGATTGTTCACTCGTAGTTTGAAGCACATTGCCAAGGGGAAACGAAATATATAGGACCAATATGTTAAGTTAGGCTTGTGTACTTATATGTAATGTAAAGTTAGGGTTGTGTGCGTGTATGTAATGTACATTTTGGGTTGTGTACTTGTATGTAATTTAGGGATGTATACTTGTATGTAAGTTAGGGTTGTGTATGTAACTTAGGGTTGTGTACTTGTATGTAAATTAGGGTTGTGTACTGGTATGTAATTTAGGGTTGTGTACTTCTGTCTGCCTTTAAGCCGGATAGTCCATATTTTCCAGGGGAAGAAATAAAATAGATATCGGGCACAATACCACTTCCCTTTTTTTTACAATATATTAAAAAAAGATATAGGAAGCGTTGTTCAATTTTCCATAAAATTTAAAATCTTGAAAAATACTTCGATGAAATTTTAGTTCTTAGTTGACTTGGAGGCAATTTTAGTTCTTAGTTGACTTGGAGTCAATTTTAGTTCTTAGTTGACTTGGACGCAATTTAAGTGCTTAGTTGACGTGGAGGCAATTTAAGTTGTTAGTTGACATGGAGGCTATTTAAGTTCTTAGTTGACTTGGAGGCAATTTTAGTTCTTAGTTGACTTGGAGGCAATTTAAGTTCTTAGTTGACGTGGAGGCAATTTAAGTTCTTAGTTGACGTGGAGGCAATTTAAGTTGTTAGTTGACGTGGATGCAATTTAAGTTCTTAGTTGACTTGGAGGCAATTTTAGTTCTTAGTTGACGTGGAGGCAATTTAAGTTGTTAGTTGACGTGGAGGCAATTTAAGTTCTTAGTTGACTTGGAGGCAATTTTAGTTCTTAGTTGACTTGGAGGCAATTTAAGTTCTTAGTTGACGTGGAGGCAATTTAAGTTCTTAGTTGACTTGGAGGCAATTTTAGCTCTTAGTTGACTTGGAGGCAATTTTAGCTCTTAGTTGACTTGGAGGCAATTTTAGTTCTTAGTTGACTTGGAGGCGATTTGAGTTCTTAGTTGACTTGGAGACAATTTAAGTTCTTAGTTGACTTGGAGGCAATTTTAGTTCTTAGTTGACTTGGAGGCAATTTAAGTTCTTAGTTGACGTGGAGGCAATTTAAGTTCTTAGTTGACTTGGAGGCAATTTAAGTTCTTAGTTGACTTGGAGACGATTTAAGTTCTTAGTTGACTTGGAAGCAATTTTAGCTCTTAGTTGACTTGGAGGCAATTTTAGCTCTTAGTTGACTTGGAGGCAATTTTAGTTCTTAGTTGACTTGGAGGCGATTTAAGTTCTTAGTTGACTTGGAGACAATTTTAGTTCTTAGTTGACTTGGAGGCGATTTAAGTTCTTAGTTGACTTGGAGACAATTTAAGTTCTTAGTTGACTTGGAGGCAATTTATTTTTTAGTTGACTTGGAGGCAATTTTAACTCTTAGTTGACTTGGTGGCAAACTCTTGTTCTTAGCAGACTTGGAGGCTATGCTAGTTCTTTGTTGAGCATTTATAGATGCTACTTTGTTTAAGCTTAGAGCATGTTATTTCTCACTCTGCATTTCTTACAGTTATCGATAAATATGTCCCCAAAGCAATATGTTTGGAAATTTATGTTAAGTGTCGGCGTGGCCTACTTTTGATGTGCTGCCTCTGTCTGTGAAAGAGCATATTAAGAAAGTTCATCAATTTAGTCATCTTAGAAAAAAAAATGTTTAATAAAAGATGTTTACTGATTCTATGCCTTTCGATTTAATTTCATATGTGTCAAGTTTAACAACCTGTCTGATTGGATGCTGAAGTTATAAACACAGTAATACGTTCTGGATCCTGCAATTCACTATTTTGACCAGTTCATTTCAAACACCATAAAACAATCTTAAGTCATCTCAAAATACTGTTTACACACCTTGGAAAATATAAATTTATGCTTAGTTTGTTGTTAAATATCTTTTAGTTTGTTCTCCAAGATCGCTTAATTTGTTCTTAAATGCCGCTTAGTTTGTTGTTAAAAATCGCTTTTGCTGAGTATTAAATGACCGTACACCTGAGTAACTTTCGGCCATGTGGCCGAAAGTCTAAGTCAATTTCGGCCGAAACCGAAGAAAAACCGAAATTTAACTTTTCGCTTTCGGCCGAAACCGAAATTAAGCCGAAAGTTAACTTTTCAGTTTCGGCCGAAATTGAAACTTGGCCGAAAGTGATAAAATGGCCACTTTCGGCGCCGAAACCGAAGCCGAAATTCGGTCGGTCTCTAGTCCACGTCTATGACACTGACAAGAGTGGACCAACAGCTTGAAGAAAGTAATAAAGGTAGTGAGTATCGTGAGTATCATTTCACGCTGGCAGGAGTCTCAAACTGTGATTCATCACTATCGACATGACTCGGATTTGACACTGAAATGTCAACGCATGTTAGTATTGGCTGTGCAATGCCCATCAATGATTTTGATTTGGTCGACATATTAAGTCAACATCTCAAGATGATTTTATTCTTGTAAATATTGTTTACTCCCAAACCTATACCAACCAATATTTAGTTAAAATTTCAGTGACCTTGCAAAATAAAAACAAAAAAAAAAAACAATCTCGTTATGCCTGTCTTGATCATGTTTTCTTCGTGGCTTGCCTATTCTGATCATCATAAAGGTCCAGTATGTATATTTTTTATGGGTTTCCCGCTCATCGCATTTATAGCAACAGCTTTCACTTTCCTCAAGGTGCTCGTAATCATATGGATCGTGACTTGCACAAAAGTGGTCCTGAGGATGCAACAGAATTTTTGAATGCTGCCATTAAGAATCCAGACCGACATATCTTATTAGTCAGATAGACAATTCTAATTCAAATATGATTTTAGAAAATCGAAAATGCCAGAAGATTCCGATATTATGGCCCTTTTCCCTGTCCCTTGTCCTTGTCCCTGTAATATTGGAGAATTTGAGAGGTGGAGATATGTATAGATTATATGGGTATATAAATAGATACAGGTATAGATATATAAACAAACACTAACTCAAAGGATTGGGATTGCCTTAGCTTAAACCACCCAGCCTCTCTCTGAGTGACCACATCCAGAGTGTTGAGATTGCCTTAGCTTAAACCACCCAGCCTCTCTCTGAGTGACCACATCCAGAGTGTTAAGATTGCCTTAGCTTAAACCACCCAGCCTCTCTCTGAGTGACCACATCCAGAGTGTTGAGATTGCCTTAGCTTAAACCACCCAGCCTCTCTCTGAGTGACCACATCCAGAGTGTTGAGATTGCCTTAGCTTAAACCACCCAGCCTCTCTCTGAGTGACCACATCCAGAGTGTTGAGATTGCCTTAGCTTAAACCACCCAGCCTCTCTCTGAGTGACCACATCCAGAGTGTTGAGATTGCCTTAGCTTAAACCACCCAGCCTCTCTCTGAGTGACCACATCAAAAGTGTTGAGATTGCCTTAGCTTAAACCACCCAGCCTCTCTCTGAGTGACCACATCAAAAGTGTTAAGATTGCCTTAGTTATAACCAACCAGCCTCTCTCTGAGTGACCACATCAAAAGTGTTAAGATTGCCTTAGTTATAACCAACCAGCCTCTCTCTGAGTGACCACATCAAAAGTGTTAAGATTGCCTTAGTTATAACCACCCAGCCTCTCTCTGAGTGACCACATCAAAAGTTTTAAGATTGCCTTAGTTATAACCACCCAGCCTCTCTCTGAGTGACCACATCCAGAGTGTTAAGATTGCCTTAGTTATAACCACCCAGCCTCTCTCTGAGTGACCACATCCAGAGTGTTAAGATTGCCTTAGTTAAAACCACACAGCCTCTCTATGTGAGTGACCACATCCAGAGAGTCGAGATTGCCTTAGTTTTAGTCACTCGGCCACCTGGCTTATTGAGTGAACTTGCTAAATATATCATGTCTACCCGAAATAATTTTTTTTACCTAGCGACACTTTCAGCCGCACGGGACACACATGATACACGGGACAGACATGACACACATGACACACGGGGCACACATTACACACATGACACACGAGACAGACATGACACATATGACACACGGGACACACATTACACACATGACACACGGGACACACATTAGACACAGGCCACACGTGACAAACATTACACACATGACACACGGGACACGCATTACACACATGATACACATGAGACACGGGCACACATTAGATACATGACACAAATTACACACATTACACACATGACACAAATGACACACGGGACACACATGACACACGGGACACACATGACACACGGGACACACATGACACATGGGACACACATGACACACATGACACATATGACACACATGACACATGGGACACACATGACACATGGGACACACATGACACACATGACACATATGACACACATGACACATGGGACACACATGACACATGGGACACACATGACTCATTCTCAAACAAGCGTGACAATGTTTCTCTTATGCAACAGAACATCCCCCCCCCCAAAAAAAAAAACAACAACAAAAAAACAACAAAAAAACAATCATTTCAATGAGTTTTGAGATCCCCCCTATAAATTCATGGATTAGAAATCGTGGACCTGCTCCAAACTTGCAAGAATGACTTTTCTATGTAATTATTTTTCCGAAGACAAACATTATAAACATAACTATAACCATAACCGTTGGGGCCAATTCCATAAGGTATCGTTTT